GAAGCTGATAATTCAATCAAAGAATTGCCAATGGCCTTGCAAAAACATGATAATATGATGTATACTTCTAAACTTATCGATACGAAAGGAATCGTTTTAGAGATTGAAAATTTTAAGATCAATATTGATAGAATTTAATTAAGGTTTTATAAATAATAAGATTAAAGGAAATTTTAAATTAAGAATTTATAACTTATTAACAAATTTTAATCATTTTATAAATTAATATAAGACCATGTACTTCTAAACTTATCGATACGATAGAAGTAAGTTCAAAGTTTGAAAAGTTTAGGATTAATCAAGATCTTAAACCAAGTAAAAAGATTCGTATTGATAATATTGATAGCAATTTATCTTTTCAATATTTTAATCAATAACAGGATTAAATGTTATATTGTATATTGAGTGTGTAACTTATTTGTAAAATAATTTCCAAGAAAAAAATAAAAAATCATTAATATTTCAAAATTTTATTAGGAAAACTGAACTTTTACGTTGATTGGAAACCGATTCGTTGGATAGGATACAGTGGGCGTTGGGGCGATTACATGCATTATTTATTATTAAGGATTTTTTATCGGTTATTTTAAAATTTTCGGAAATTTCGGAAAATTAATTTTACTGGTTGTTTTCTTATTAGTGCAATATACCGTAGATTGTTTTAAAATAACTACTAAAGGTACACTTTTTGAGCGAAGAATATGGTTTTTTATGTCGTTTTTTTTTTTAATCGATAGATATAATTATGCTCTTTTCAAAAATAGGCTCAGTTTTACAATTTTCATTAGCTTTATGTTTGTCAAATCTAGATAATGTTTATTTTACATTGTTAAAGAATTTACTGCTTATAAAATATCATAAATCGAAAAAATGACTCTATTACATTAAAGTATACAATTTGCTCTATCTTTTAAAAAAAATTAGACGATTAATTATTATACTAGTTCGAGGGAAAAGCGTACCGAAAGTTGATATTATCCGCAGTAAATTCGGATTTTCATAAAAAATATTTATCATATGCGGCCCTAATTAATGTTTGATTTTACTAGTTTGATGATCACCCCAGTAGGACGTGTGCTTTGATATCGATCAAAAGGTGATGCAACTATGGTGATGCTGTAAAGGTGATGATCTTGAAGACTGTGATGAGAATTTGATGATATATTATGGTCGCGTGACGAATCAACGAAGATGTTCTCTTTACTTCCGTTTCTGTAGGTATCGTGAATGACAATATTTACTTCCGTTTCTGTAGGTACCGTGAATGACAATATTTAATTCCGCTATCGGTCGTTTATAATTCTATTTAAGGGTAGGGTGTACGTAGGTCATTTTTTATATGATCTAGATGGTATAATAGATTTTTATATAGTAAATTAAAAATGTGTTACTAATAAAACTTTTT